CTCCTCAAGCCCATCATCCACATTAGAAACTTGGAAATACACAGCTATGCAGTAGCAATTACTAATCACACAATGCTTGTGTAGACTCGGGCATCGGGCTAGCAAAACCGGACACGCCCATTCACATTTCAGCCGCAGATCCAAGCTTGGTGCTGACGACATCGCGAGCTCGCGTCTTGACGGAAGCGACTTCTGCGGCGCTACGGAGGCACTTTGGTATTGGGGTGGATGGAGCGGGGAAGGATGTGTGTTCGGTGATTTCAACTGGACACTACTTGCTTCCTGCGCTTGCGTACGGCGTTATTGGCGCGGGAGGCGTGTTCTCTGCTGCATCGGCGGCTAGTACGGTTGGTGAGCTGTGCAAGCAGATCCAGGGTGCTGGGTCTAAGATTCTTGTTGCTGTGGAGAGGACGAGGGATGTTGCTGTCGGGGCTGCTGAGGCGGCGGGGTGGGGTAGGAACGGAGGCGGGAGAGTGCTGGTAATGAGTGAAGGGAGGGAGTGGAGTCTGAGAGCTCTGCAGAGAAATGGGGGATTAGGAGAGAATTTGATTGTTGAGGGAGATAGATTGGTTTGGAGTAGGATTACCGATCCGCAGGAGCTGGATGATAGCCTTGTTGTGCTGATTTATAGCTCTGGGACTACGGGTTTGCCCAAAGGTAAGAGGCGAGAAGACTCCAAGAGGTTCATACGCGTGCTGATCCTGGTGTTAGGTGTCAAGATATCTCATCGAAACTTGGTAGCCGAAACTGTAATCACAGGTAACTTGGTCAAGTCATGGATATCAGAGAAACGACCGGACTTCGAATATAGAACAGTCGCTCATCTGCCCATTGCGCACATCGCCGGCATCCAGGGTTACCTCCTCAATGGATTCTACATGGGCGGCCCTGTTTACTGGATGCCAAAGTTCGACTTTGCTCAGTTCCTCGAATACAACAGGAAATACCGCATCACCTTCTTCTTCACTGTGCCGCCCATCTTCCTACTCATTGCAAAGTCGGCCCAGGTAACAGACCAGTTCCAGACTCTGGAGTTCGTTGTCAGCGGTGCTGCACCGCTAGGCAAGGACTTGCAGTATGCAGCCAGCCAAAAGCTAGGTGGACCAGATTGCTTCATCGATCAGACGTGGGGGCTATCCGAAACGACAGGAAGTGCAACAATCATGCCAGCGGGCATGCACGACGATACTGGGTCAGTAGGCCCTCTGGTGCCGAATATGCTTGCCCGTCTTGTTGACGACGATGGCCGAGATGTCGAGTTAGGAAGGCCAGGAGAGATTCTTATCAAAGGGCCTGTGGTGTGCAAAGGATATTACCAGAACGATGTTGCTAACAAGGAATCCTTCACAGAAGACTGGTTTCACACTGGTGACATTGCAGAGTTTCGCAACGGACTGTTTTACATTGTCGATCGTAAGAAGGAATTAATCAAGTACAAGGGCTTACAGATTGCTCCTGCAGAGCTAGAAGCTGTATTAGTGAGCCACTCGGATGTTTTGGATGCAGCCGTTATCGGAGTCGAGGCTGATGACGGGCTTAACGAGGTTCCAAGAGCGTATGTTGTTGCTGCTAAGGGCAAGGATAAGATTAGCGCACGCGATATCGCAGAGTTTGTGAAGAGAAAGGTGGCTGGGTACAAGCAGTTGAGGGGTGGTGTGGTGTTTGTGGATGAGGTCCCCAAGAGTCCCAGTGGAAAGATTCTCAGGAAAGATTTGAGGCTTCTGGCGAAGCGTGAGAAGGGCGCAAGGTTGTGAGGTGTAAAACCCAAGAAATAGAGGTACGAAGGAATGACTCCAACAGTTGAGTTGATACGTGTAGAACAAATGACACTGTTCCTGATTTAGAAGTCATGGCAATCACAATATCGACACTTACCCCGCAGAAAAAGCACTGAAGGAGAGAGACACCTTGCGCGCCAACAAATACATGTGTCTTGCCTGGTTTCCGGATTATGTCCCGGTACGGTTTACCCTCAGTGTACACGTGGCTTGTCAGAGATATATCTCGGGGCGGCCCACGACAGGCCAGGCGTAGACTTCCAGTCGCCTTACGAGCATACGCACGTGTTTTCTTTTTCGGGATCAGCCGCACAGCCTCGGTTTATGACATCACCACGAACAGTCACAAACTAACTCTTGGGGGTTCCCCTGGCACTGGCTCCAACTTCCTGTCCACATCCATCAGAACCATGTCTCGCATAGCGGTATTTTTTTGTCAGGACTCTATTGCGGAGACGTGTCTAATTTGCCTTGCAGAAGCAAAACGAGAAGATTCGCGAGGTTCTCGCTTCCGTAGAAAATGGCACCCAGCGGATTGACGAAATGGCAAAAATTAGAGGGTGGTTTCGTCCAAAAGATGGAAGTGGGGCTTATTCAGCCGTGCAAGACTATCTCAACGAGAGGATCGACTTGAGCGAGACGGCATCGCTCTTGTTCGGGCCCATTGATGAGAAAATCAACTCTTCTCATCTCGACGATGTAGACTTCATGGACCTTTGGTATAGCATCATTCACTCAGCACGACGCTTGTCATGCCGTGAAAATACAGAGTCCCACAACCACGACAAACTAGTCGACTTGATCAAGGCGTTCAAGGAGCACTCGATACCAAACAACGAAATCTACAACTACCTCTATAGCGAAATGACCGACTTCGGAATGGCCTGTCGTGAAGCCTACAACGACGCTCCAGTCGCTCACGACGGCTTCTTCGACCAAGAGGTGGAAGCATGGGCAAACATGAACTTCTTCTATGCTCGTGTAACGCAAAAGGGACTGCAAGATCTCTGGATATTTGCCATCTTCTCGATGCGAACCGCACTTGAAACACCCCTCGTTGATGACCCCTCTGCAACAGCCAATCAGCAATACGACGCGTACGTCCCTGCTGCCGCCGCTTGGGTCTTCGGAAATGGACGCCAGCTCTTCCGCTTAGAAAAGGACCTCACACCTGTCGATCCCAAGCAAGGTAACCCCGCACGAGGCGGGGAGCTGTGGAAAGGCAAGGCCGAGTTCAGCAAAGATCGATGGGCGCTGTGGAAGGAAAGATTTGCTGCGGTTGGGAAGATGGACGGCGTGGCGGAAAAGACTAGGATTACCGCGAGAGATGCGGTCGAGAGCATGGAAAGGAGCGAGACCTACGAGCCTATGCCGCGGTAGTGCATGGCTTTTTTTTCGGTTGTCATGATATGTTCTTTTCGGCAGATTCATGTGTATGTGCAGTTGACGGGGGCCTATCAAGAACTGTGATGTTTCTTGCGGAACAATGTATCCGTGTGCACGATCATTCAGATGGTAGTGGTAGTGAAGAGGTGAAAATAGTGACATGCTCAAGTCTGGATGGATATCAAAAAAGCGCCACATTCACTACTATTAGCCAACTCTTCCCTTGTTGGGCGACATCGCATACCTTCATCCGACGCTCTTCACAGTCTCCACCACATCATGTTCGCGATGCTCCCCATCATCTCAAATAGATGGCGGGCCTGGCGGTGCTCTAGGACCACTCTTGCAACAAAGCACTCGCAACTACTTGAATCAGTTAGGCCAGCAACGGTCTCATTGTCGCAGCCACGGTTCAAGTTCGGATCGGGGGTGACAGATCTCATCGCACACTAAGTAGCGCCGGCCCGAGCGCCACTGGCAACCAAATCTCAACAAGCCTAACGGAACGGAGCGGTCACCCATTTCGAGCTCCTCGCCACGCGGTGCCGCCCTGCAATCTAGTTTTTCCTCTTTGCTGGCACAGATTCATGGCGCCTCCAAGACGGGACCCGGACCCTTGGGAACAAGAAAGAAGCGTTTACCGGCCCTGCCTAGCTGCGGAAGGAAAATTTCGAAAGTATGAAATGTTGAGTTTCCGATGTACGCCGGGTGGCCTGAATTGCCATTGATGTGGATCTGCAAAGCCTCGTAGTTATTGAGGCGTGTTTGAGTAGCCAGTGACTTGGAGAAAACCCACAAGGCAGAAGGATACTTCATACATCTAGCAAGGGCTGAGTCGTTGATGATGCAGGTCTGGCGAATTCGGCAAATATCCCCTCGTGGCGAAGAGATTGTGAGTGGCCATCGCTAGGTACAAGGGTTAGCGGGCTATGGAGTTAGTCGGGGCGGGTGACAGTTAGCTAGACGAACGGGCGAGCATTAGGGGGTTTGACCAGGTGCGGACGTTAGGACTTGGTCGAGACAAGACTTTCAGCACTCGGTATGGCCAGGCCCTGCACATGTCCCATGGTATAAAGTAAACGGAGACTGCAGCCTGCATAGCAAGAAAAAGAACGATCATCTGGAACTACGATTGATCATCGGGAGCATAGCTGCACATCACCTTCTTCTTTAGGGAACCTTCAAAGTTACATACACACCCACCCATCCCCAGAAACTCAAATCCTCTTTGATCGACAAGAGATTCGCCTTCTTATACCCTCTATATATCTAATCCACACACTTCGAAACCATGCATTTCACCTCCGCCATCCTCAGCATCGCCTCTCTCACGGCTCTTGCATCCGCACAACCAGGCCCCGGCCCAGCACCAGGACCAGCACCGCCTGTCGCCCAGATGAACAACACAAACGGCATTGGCAGCACACCTGCCCAGCGCTTCGTCATCTCCGCCGACCAAGCCCAAACCGTCATCAAAGCTGCCGTCGCAAACGCCACCGCGCTTCAAATTCCAGAGAACATTGCCATTGTTGACCCAGCTGGCATGCTCGTCGCTTTCCACCGCATGGACAACGCGTACCTCGGCTCCATCGACATCAGCCAGAAGAAGGCTCGCACTGCCGTTCTCTTCAATGGCCTTAGCAGCGGAGACCTCTACGCTGCCGTTCAGCCCGGCGCTCCGCTTTACAGCGCCGAGAACAGCAATGGAGGTCTTATTGTCTTCGGTGGCGGTCTCCCTATTTACTTGAATGGAAGGCTGATTGGCGGTGTTGGTGTTAGCGGTGGAAGTGTCGAGCAGGATCTCAGTGCTGCGTATGCCGGTGTTGAGGGACTTGGTGCTTCATCCAAGGCTTAAAATGGTGGTGACTTGGGATGAAAGCGCTTTTCTTCTTTTTATTCCTTTTCTCTTCTTTTCTTCTTCTTTGTATCCTTTTGGTGAAGATGTTTTGGGGAGATATCCTGGGGTTAGTTTGGAAGTAAAAACTTTTGACAAGGTCGAAGATAGATCTTTTGGAACATGATTGTTGTTGTGTTATACTAGAATAGAAGGGCCGAAAAGGCCTGTTTGTAATTGGAAATACTGAGGATCAATGTACATACTTGGTTGAGAATGAGCAGTGTCCATTTTTGGAATGATGTCTCGATATTTTGCTTGCTGTGTACTTTTGAGAAATGGGTTTGATTCGTATGATGCAAGTAAGTCTTCTGGTTGCTTCTTCATCACATCTAGAAACTAATTTAAGCTCTTTGGGATGTCTTCTCACGGATGGGATGTGAATGCTTGGGCGAGATTGCCTTTGAAGCCTTTGAAGCTCCGAGCATAGCGGTGAAGTAGGGGAAAGAAAGCTCGTCAGCATAGTCGATGCAATGATGTTGTTATCGTGATGCCGTATCTCTAGAGAGGCTGACAGCAAGCTAACGATTCATGTTCGTGACACATGACATGTAGTGTGCGGATGCGGCGGGAAAGATCTCAAAGGAGATCCGGATACCGATATTACGATAGGCATGGTAGTGGAATCATGAAACTTAGCTAAGATTTCTGGTGCTTGCGACGCCGTGCTGTATCTTCTTGGGAATATAGCATGCCACTTTTGGCGGTGACGCGCACGCGTTTGTAAGCCCTACCAAGTATACTCACTTAGCTCACGATCGCGGGAATACTATCCATACTTTGGAGCCAGTTAAATGCTTAATATAAAAGTGATGCTGTAACGTTCTAGTCCAAAGACCTCGGCGGTAGGCGAAAAAGGCTCGCTTGTCTTAGTGTACCATTCGCCTCACATTCGGTTGTCTAGCACTCAGCCTGGACAAAAATAGGTCAAGTGCACCAGAACCAAAAGTACGTATGGTGATGTCATAAGCTTCCAGCTATGTATACCCGAGGACTTTAGTTCGACTGATCATCTGCGCAGAGCAGAAGCTATACTGATGCAGGCCATTCGGATGTAAATCCTAATAGCTGCTTTAGATTGGCTACCAGTTTCCAGTTGGGATGGATCTTTCAAGGAGATTACAGAACAAATGAATCTGGTCAACATGTTGTCCGCTCAAAAAGTAAAGGAAATCATTGTTGCAGTTGCGTGACTCACCTGCAGTCAGGTCGGCATGGAACTCTCCCTACGTCACAGCAGCAACTAACTAGTTTTCTCGGCAGCTCGACCCCACTAATCTCTACGGAGTTTTCGCCAGTTTGAAAGGATTAGTTTGACCTCTCAAAGCCTACGTGAAACGTAAGTATGCCAAAGCAGCTGTTGTATCGCTCAATTACTTCCTGGATAGGGCTGTCATTAGCGGTGAGGGTCGAGACCTCACCATTCGTTTTGTGTACTTCGTATTCACCGCTCACAACCCAGGGTTGCCCAGTCAAAATACCCTATCCAACCATGCTACTCTGGTCCTCTGACCATTCGCGTGATCGCTTCTTACCAGTACCGCAAGTTGCAAATCCAATACTCCAGCGAACAACGCACTCACAATCATGAAACAGCCAAAAAAGAAAGCGCGTCGTCGGGACGAGTGGAAAAATGCAGTCATGAGTAAAGTAGGTCTGATGACTAGGCGGTTGCCAATCAAAAATGCTCACAAGGCTGCGAAGACAGCTGTTACTGCTGCAGGTGTGGTACTAGCCGGGCCAATCGTATCATTTCTCCCACTTGGCCCGTTCACCGCCATCCTATCGTTACTAGCCACGTCCCTTGCGAGCAGTCACTTGAAACATAAGATCATTGGTGGCGTCATTGCTTTTTTGTATGCAGGTGGGCTCCATGGGTTCGAGGGACAATTGCTGGCGCTGTTGAGCTACTTTAGCTTTACTTCTGCCTTCGGTAAGCCTATTTGTACCGGCAGCATCTTACTCGCATCCTGACAGGAGAGTAGACAAGCTTTCTGGAAACATTCATGCCATGTACAAGGAGTCCGCCTTTACAATTGGATTTTCCCGACCCGAATCAACACAGTTATTTCTTTTTGTTCTCTCCGAGCTCCTCGAGCTTCCTTGGGCTATACCGGTAGTCGTCCGCGCAGTCGTCAACAATGTATCGCAGCTGGCTTCTCAATCATATGCCACAATTTCGAGCACAAAACCATCATTCGATACATCGAAACCACCCTTGAGGTTGCTCATTCAGACACTGAGCAACCTGTACACCATGGATAAATATGCGGATGACGATGTGGAGAGCCTGAACGCGAGCCAAGATATCCAAAACGGCATACCTTCAAGCATCACCCCAAGTCTACCACCAGAAATCCCGAGCTATGAGTCTTCGCCAGAGGAGTGGTCGGAGGAGCGAGAGGTAGTCGAAGATACATGTGATGATGAACTTTGGAAAGGCGGTTCCCTAAATGACGAAGAAAGGCGCACTCAAGCGCTATTCGATGAGCTGAATCATCTCATTGATGAATGCGACGGGCTGAATAGTGCTCAATGGAATGAGGTCATCGAGTTGTTGAATGAAAAGGAGGGCTTCGAGATCGACCGGGGAGAGTGTATGGTCTCAGCGCATTTTGAGGATTGGGCACAGCGGGATGCAGAGATAGAGTTGTCAGTTTTATACCCCACCATTTGATTGAATAGTTTGAACTAGATGCAAAAATCGAGATCTTCCACGATGTAAATGAAATAATTACAACCTGCGTTGCGGCTGCACATGTGATGATGCTTTTGTGGACCAGCCACAGTGGCGGTGCGCCAAGGTTCTAACCATTTCCGGACTAGACAGCTCGCTCGCCCACAGGTCCCAACTCCAATATTGCACACAATTCGCGACCGACGACAACCCCACGACTAACACACAGGTATCACGCCAACACCGCCAACATGCGTACCTACGACGATTCCTTCAGCGGTCAAAAGATCTACCCGGGCAAGGTGCGTTACAATGCCGCTCCCGTGTCCCGCTATCCGCCGCCGCCAGAGGTCGACATTCCGCCATCGCGCCGCAACAACGCGAACACCTGGCGGAGGGGGGTGTTGGGGATACCATAATGGG